GCTGTTTGGGTCCTTCTAACTGCTTTACATTTTGCCTTACTTATAATTATGTGCCGAAGAATTCTGAAAGAATGCAGGTCCATCAGAGAGAGTTTTGGGGCCGAAGAAGTAAGACGCATGTAAGACCAGTAGGTGGTGCTGCTCAGAAACCCAGCTTCGAGACCCAGGGGAAGCCCTTGGGTGCCTAGCTGGATTTTGGAGAGAAGAGCCCTTGGCAAAACTGCTTGTTCTTTTTCAAAAAGAAGAGAATAGAAAAGAAAGTCCACTAGGCAGTTCCAGTTTATTCACTTTCTGAATGATTGAGCAATTTAATCGGGAAAAAATGCTGCTTACTTCCCTTTTGGGCCCATTTTTCTTAGACTTTAGGGCGTAGGAAGCTAGAGGAAGAGATTAATCAGCATAACAATCTGAAACTAAAGATATGGCTTGATTTGGTTAAATGCGTGTGGTTTTAAACATCAAAATTCTGGCAATATCCTCCATTTCATTTTAGTGCTTGCGTTGTACTTTTTGGAACTGATTATATTTTCATATTTTGTAGTAAAACAAAGAAGTGGAAGAGCATGCTTTTTGTCTTTAAAAGAGTATATATTTTAACATTCCTTGCCGGTATTTTCTTTTTTTTAAACATTTTTTATTCAGTTATAGTCATTTTACAATGTTGTGTCAAATTCCAGTGTAGAGCACAATTTTTCAGTTATACATGAACATACATATATTCATTGTCACACTTTTTTTCCTCTGTGAGTTACCACAGGATTTTGTATATATTTCCCTTTGCTATACCGTATAATCTTGTTTATCTATTCTACATATGCCTGTCAATATCTACAAATTTTGAACTCCCAGTCTGTCCCTTCCCACCCCCCCAACCCCCCTCGCCTTGGCCACCACAAGTTTGTATCCTATGTCTGAGTCTGTTTCTGTCTTGCCAGTATTATCTTACTTGCGATGCTCTGGCATTTTGAACTGGCATAAACTGTTTATTCAAGGTTGGAAATTTTTAAGTGTTTTTATATGTATAGAAATATGTGCATTTTCTTTTATTCCGCTGTAGCCAATTTATTTTAATGTCCTTATTCATAGATATGGATATGTAACCAATCCTGAACAGTGCCATCTAGCTCAACGATGCTTACTCCTATAAGCAAAAACAATATAATTGTTTCTAACTTTTGTAAAAGTAGTGATACTGAGATGTATGGTCTACAGATTTAAATTTAATCCCCTATCTTTATGCTCTCATAGCCTTCCAGTTTTACCCCTCAATCCTATATAGTCTAAGAACAGATAATAGCAAAAATGTGTATATACTTCATTCCAACTTGAAGATATACTAACATTAACTACATTGTGCAAGACATTGTTCTAAGTGCTGTGCGTTTATTAGCTTATAATAAACTATGAGGTAGGTACTATTGTTATTCCCATTTTACAGAAACAGGCAGGAACTGTAAGAGTTCACCTAGTACAGTTCTTCATTTTATCAATTAAGAAATAGACGTAACAAGGTTAAATGACTTGCTAAGGGACTTTCTTGTTCCAGATAAAGCCGGGAATCGGAACACAGGTGTTTCCTGATCCATCAATGTTTTTAATTTAGGAAAAGTAATTTACAGCTCTTCGGTTGTTCTAGGCATATACTTAGAATGAATATTAGAATTTACATCTGTCTATCTATCCATCTGTCTGCAAAACAAGAATCAGTTAACAGGAATCCCACTTAAATGCCCTTCCAGGCCTCAGACTCTGTCTCTCACCCACACCCATAATGTTAGTCATTCAGTGAATAGTTCCATCTTTCCTTGGTCAAACCTAACTTTGATTTCTCTCTTTCTCTTATGTCCCATATCCATTTGCAAATAATCTGTTGGCTCTTCCTAGGAAGCACATTCAGAATCCAACTACTCACTGCTCCTACTGTCTCCAGTTTGGATTATTGCAGTAGCCCAGGAACTGATTTTCTTGCTTCTGTCCTTGCTTTCCTTTGAGTCTATTTTCAACACAGAAACAAAAGTTAACTTATTAAAAAGGAAGTCAGATCATACCACATCTCCGTTCAGAGTCTCCCATGGCTTCCCAAAACAAAGTAAAACCAAAGTCCTTAACAATGGCACTAAGACTCTCCCCTCATTAACTCCCTGACCTCACAAACTGCTTGCTTAGCTTTGTGGTCCAAAAAACCTCTATGCGATCTCTCATCCTCAGTCTCTGCAGTTGCTGTCTCCTCTCCTTGGAATGCTCTTCCCCCAAGTGGCTTCCTCCCTCTGTCTGGGCTCAGATGTCGTCTTTTCAGTCAGGCCTCTACTTGCCACCCCATTTTAAATTGTGACATTCTCCCACTCCCAATATTTATTATTCCTCTCCCCGTTTCTCTCTGATACTTCCCACAATGTAAGGGATGACTTAGTTTGCTTATTTATATTTATTGTGTTTCTCCACACTGGAACATGCATCTCTCAAGGTCAAGAATTGGTGTTCTATTTTGTATTCCAACTTCCAAGAATAGTACCTGACACATTCAGAGAGGCTCTCTGTAAATATATGTTGAATGATTGAGCGAATATGTGTGCACACATTTATGTACTAAATAAAATAGAAATGAATAAAAACTTGTTATTTGTCAGCAATAGTATATAGAGAAGAAAATTGAATGTATGGAATAGTATGCAGTCACCTCCACCAGCCACCTAAAAGATAATATGAGTTTCTATCTCTAAGTAATACAGGACAGCACCTCTCAATATTGTCAGAATTGTTTGAAACATAATTGGTTTCCAGTCATTGTTAAAATGCCTAAACTTTCCAATGGTTTACTTAAAGAAATAAACCAAAGCGTAACAGATTCAAGGTATCTCTATAATAATGTTATTATCATTGGTATTCTATTTTGCTTCATTGAATCAAAGATAAGAGAGTTGCAAAAGACTGCTAGGGGTTGCTCATTCTTCATATCCTTCTATTTCCCACAGTATATAAAATGTGTTCATGAATACCCCACATCTCCTCCAGGCACCCCCTCCTCCCCATACTGCCCTCCCAACACATAAAAATGTTTGGTGTTATTTGCTGGTCAGAATATTCTTTCTGTTTAGTTAATATCTGAAGATGTCCACGAAAACCTGCTTGAGAAAAATCACGTGTTATAGTGAAAAATGTGCTGAAAATCATGGATGTAGCCAGTCTAGGGCAGTGGTTTTCAAAGTGTTTTCTAGGGTTCTCTGGGGGTCCTTGACATCCTTTCAGAGGATCCCAGTGATGAAAGTTATTTGGACAATAATACATACAAAGAATCTAGCTGCCTTGTTTCTCTCTCTTTCTCGTTCTCTAGCACTTTTTTCTCCCTTTTTCTCTTTTGTACAGTGGAGTTTTCCAGAGGCTATATGATGTATAATGTACCAACAGATTGAATGTAGAAGCAGATATTAGCATTTGGCTGTATTAATTAGGCCAAGCATTAGACTTGTGAAACATAAAATAATACTGCTCTTTGCACTAAGTTAACTTTGTTTTGGAGTATATAGTTATTTTTCAGAAAATAATTATGTACCTAGGTTAACATTAATGGGCTTATTGTTTTTAATAAATTAATTTTAATTAATGAATTTGTTTTAGTGAATTTAATGAATTAATAAATATTTTAAACAGTTCTCAGTTTTAGTTTGGTAAGTATTGATAGATTAACATATATAAACAACAGTTCTTTTGAGCCTGCTATAGTTTTTAAGAGTATAAAGGGATCCCGAGGCCAAAAAGTTTGAGAACATTATTTCCAGCTTAGTCTAGAATAGTCTGGGAGTGTTTCGTGCACCAGCCCTAAGCTAGATTTCTTCCCACATGCCAGCAATCATCTGATAACTGTGCACACAACTTTCTCATGTGTCTGGAAGCAGAACAAACCAGATTCAGAAATGCACCCGACATTATAGCTAGCAGATGAATAGAAACAAAGCCAAGGGAAAGTTTTAGAACTTCAACTTTTCCATTTCAGTTGAAGATTTCGCTGCAGTTGCTGATACATAGCTTGGTCTTTGTCCTACCATTTGCTGTTGTTCTACTTACAGTAATCAAATAATATATACTTTTCTAGCAGGATTCCGTTGTAAATAATAGTAGAGTAGACAGTTTTGTTTAAGTTTTTCCTTTACCTAATGTGATAATGTTCTCTGTGACTGGTTCTTAGTATTTCTCCTGCAGCCCCAGAAGTTGCAACTGAATTATGAAAGTTATATGCCTGGGAAATGGCCTAATACAAAATAGTCACTGAGTAGGATTTTATAGTTGGACTATAAAGGCAAGCATGCCTTTCCTAGCCCTGATTGTGCGTGTATATGATGTGAGTATTGATTTTTAGATGTCTTCAATTGACAATATTAGCTATTATAGTATGGCCAAAGACCATGCTTGTTTCATTAGACATGACCTCATTGAGCATAGTATTGAAAGATAAGAAGAAATGTT